TATTAATAAAGCTGAAACTTCTATTATAAATAACCCAAAGACATTTTGGTCCTATATAAAAGCATTAAAAAATAGTGAATGCTCTTTTCCGGCTTCAATGATCTATGAAAATAGATCGGCGGATTCAGGGGAGGCTATTTGTGAACTTTTTTCTACCTACTTTCATTCAACCTTTTTAGGGTCTGAAGNAAATAAATAAAATTAAATAAATTATGCTAGACTGTTGGCTACAATAGAATTAAATCCTGCCCTGACATGCCTATCATAAATATAGTTGGCGCCAAGTGACTGTCACACTAAGCCCCATTGTTACCCAGCCGTGCTTGGGATCCAAGCGAGCTCTTGGCTCTTTGAAAATTAACATTTTCACTTTTCACCTTCAAGTCACTTTTAGTCTCGGTATGGAATTTTATATCGGATAATATTCTTTTACTTCACTTTGAAGCAGGGATTTCACATGATTCAGTAATTTCTGTGTAAATGAGAGTATGAAAATAGATAGATTTGAATAGACAGATAAGCTTTTTTCTAGAATAAAGAAACCGTGATACCCACTGAGAATGAAAATAACTAATAATATGAAATAATATGGGGGATTTTCATTTGTTATCTTTCTCAATAATTCTTTAAACCAGATTGATTGACTTTGTACCAAACCATTTAAATCCATGTAGCGTATGTATCCAAGATCAAACAACAAATTCAGCAGTAAGCAAGTACTCAAAGAGTTGTATTGGAAAACAGGTTATTGCTGTTTGAACCAGAAATCCCGTAACGTTAACGTTAATAACGTTACAGGAAAATGTCACCTGTCATACACTTTCCTTACAATGTAGGGAAGTCGAACCCTAACTTCGAAGTCTTCCTATGTTCTTCTGATTTAATTTCTTTACGGGTCGAACGGCAGTTAACTTTCCCCTGGAACAAACTTGACCTTCACTGGGTGGGTTTTAATGGCGGTCAAGCTGTAGATCCTGGCTACACTGCAGTCGCAGCGGTGGGGACGAGAGGTGGCAATAGTCCCGTAGCTTAAAGTTGATTTGATTATTAAATAATTTATTAAAAGTCAAAAACCTGTATTTTTCTGCACAATATTCTTTTTCGTCATAAAAATTATATATTATTACATAATATTATTACAATAATAAATGATCTCCATACTTAGATTAACGTTCTTACAATACTTCCATAATTCACATCCGTCCTTTTCGATTATGATACGTTATGAAGTACCTATACAAGCAATCTATATATATAAAAGAAAGTCGTGTTAGTTACTCCACTTATAACTCAAGAACGGCTGAACCGATTTAGTTGAAAATTGTCAGGGAGGTAGTTTAGAGCCAGGAGAAGGACATAGGATACTTTTTATCCCGTTCGAAATTAAAAAAAAGTCTGCTTATTTATTGCCATTAAGGCGGAACAAAGTTCGCCGGGTCAGCTAGTTCTAAATAAATCATCGTATATATAAATTTTAATCGTATGTAATTAATTGGTTTTTTACTTCCTACGCAGTAGGAGATAATTATTGTTTATAGCAAAGCGGTTTGTGTTATGTTTAAATAATTTATTATTTATTAATAAACTTATTTGCATCAACATTTAATCACATGAAATTATGCCTAGACATTATTTGCTCTGTGAGAACATTGTAAATAACATAGTTATACAATTTAATAAGCTTTAAAATCACTTAAATATTGAAAGGAATACAAAACTGTTGAGCATGAAAATTATTTTTTCACTAGGTACTTAGATACGGGACTATTTCCATCTCTCGTTCCCACCGCTGCAACTCCTGTGTAGCCAGGACCTACAGCTTGACCGCCAATAAAAACCCAACCAATGAAGGTTAAGTTTGTCCCGGGGGAAAGATAAACTGTCATTGGACCCGCAACAAAATTAATAAGAAGTACACAGGAGGAGTCCGAAGGTACTTAGGTAGGAACTAAGAACTAACTCTACCAACAAAACCAATATTATGGTCATAAACCTTTAATTTGTTTCAATGAAAAGACGTTCACTGCTGGATAAAATCCTCCCCCAAAGTTTTCAAACACCGGTCCTTCGCTGCCCGCATCCAGGTGCGTCTCGATACCTTCACCAGATCCGAACGGGAGGCTTGCCTACACTAAGTACGTACTCCATGTAAAAATCGAGTCTTAGGCCTAAATACTAAAATGGAAATCAATTATATTATGAATCAATACTCAATAATAGGTTTAACCCAACCTTGACTCTTCAATCCGGCGACGTGGACCGTGGACCAAGCTAAAAGTGGGCCAAATCGCTGGAAGCTCCTCAAAAATTCAACTAAGTACAGATGTAAATCAATGCTCCAATTGTTTCTTTGACAGGGTGGTTTTTTTTGCATTTATTTGAGGTTTTCAAAACTCCTTTTGATTTTAAGATTTGCGATGGAACGAGACAACATAAATGGCATTGGACAGTAAACACTGTTGCCAATAGTACTAAGTGGTGGATGATTTACTTTTAGTATACTCGTACTTACATAATTTACCTTTTCGACCTAGGTACTCGCTTGGGAACTCAACTTACAATATTTGAGCCAAGAGAGTCAAACTGTATATCGCTAGATGTAGCGAAGCGATCACGAACTAAAATTGATAATCGCCCGTGTTCACAAACGATGCTTACTTAAGTGAAGCAGCAAATCGAACGCACAGCGTTAGAGCTCTGTGATTAGTTCGTGTATCACCCTGTGCATCCACGCACACTGTGATACCTCATAGTTATGTTTGTGAATATGGGCGAATCAATGTTGACAATGCTTATAGCGTGACTTAACGCCTTTAGCGGTAGGTTCAAATCCCGATCAGGGCAATTAAGTTACATAATAGCTCATTTACTATATTGATGTGTTGTTATGAATAATTAATATTAATGTTGTCTAACTATGGACTACAAATAATAGTAATTAATTAACTTAATTTATTTGTTTCCTCCTAACCAAAGTTATATCGGTTATTGAAGCATTTTTTCATAATTTTTCATTCTTCATTTCTATTACGTTTGAAAGTGGCAGTAGTTTTCCTTACTCTGATGTCATAGTCGTTTGCAAACCCCTTTTGAATCTTTTTCTTGTCGACAACAAACCTACACAGTGTCAGCCCAAAACTCCGCTACAAGAGTGGCGTTGTCAGCAGCATTCATTAAATCCTCCTGCGTGCAGTTGTTCGGACACTCAGAGCATACCATGTGCTTCATCGACTGGGGAACAAAACTTTTTTGAATCGAGCTAAGTTATTAGGCACTGTATTCTTTGCGTTTATTTTGTAGTTCTTTTATACTTTTATATCGAGCTTGCTCCATAGTTAACGGTTTCGCTTACAGTTTCTAGATTCGCTGGAAATCTTTAGTAGGTACTTCTGATGTGAAATTTCCTTCTATAAGAAATACTGTTAAATTAACTGCTAATAGTGTCGGTAAACTCTATACTACTCGTAATAAAATTTATATCTCGCTAATCTAATAATGTTTTGCTATCACCAAACTTCTGGACCTATTAGGCAATTTTTTTTTCACAAATATTTGTAAGCCCTCTTCGGGATTCAACGAATAAGTGAGAGAATTAATCTAAACATTATAAAAAGTAAACATTGTACTAAATTATTCGTTTTAGCCAAATGACGTCCACAGCTGGACAAAGGCCTACCCAAGGCTTTCCATAATGAACGGTCCTGCGCTGGCCGGATCCAGGTTCCTCCCACGACCTTCACCAGATCGTCGGTCCACCTAGTAGGAGTCTGCCCACGCTACCTCTTCCAGCCCGTGGTCGTCGCCACTCGAGAACTTTTAGCTGCCTAAACTAAAATTAATAGTAAACGATAATCCATGTGAACAATGCAGATAGAAGTTTATGATAAATGATATGATATTTATGATAAATGATTATAGACCCTGAGGGTGTAAATTTTAAATTTACACCCTCAGGGTCTATAATATCATCCCCAAACTAAACTATCTGATATCAGTCTATCAATACTATCACTGAAGTTCGGTTCAATATACTCGCACTGATACAGTCGACGAGAAAAGTGTTATTTTTACTGTTAATTTCATTTTCTTTTGATACGCAGTGAATAAGTTACCTTTTTTGCTTCTGCTTTTTTGTCCGTTGTTGTTTCAATTCTTTAGATAGTTCAAATATTCGTAAAAATCTAATTAATTTATGAATCCACTATTTTAACAGTCCAGTAATAGAAAATTATCAGTTTCACTCTAAAATCCATGACCATAAAACGACAAAATGAGCGTAAATTGATGCAAATGCTCATCATACTAATACAGAAAGAGCCAAAACACACGATGCGTAGCGGCGACGAGATGGGACGCCAGAGCGGTGCTGCTGCGTCTTCTTTCATAGAAACATAGCCGTGCGGCGCGACGCCGCGATATACTTCGAAATCTTTGCTGTACTTACGGCGTTGCAACGCATCGTGTGCTTTGGCTCTAAGATTGGAACTCGCAACCTACAGCTGGCATCGTAGTCTGATATGCTAGCCATCAGGCCAGTGAGCATTGAAGGGCCTTGGACGCGGAGCATTGAAGGGCCTTGGACGGGCCTTCCAAAATAGTTTTAACTGTTATCGTCAGATACATAATATTGTTTTATCTTTATACACATTATGTAAAACCTCCAAATATCCTTATGATGCAAATGCAATAAAAACCTAGGTACGGTTTTCGTTTTGACAGCTATGAATCGCTGAAACTGGACAATAAAGAGACAGGAAGAACGCTATTAAAGCTCAAACTCTGCTTGACAGTGTTGATGGAGCTTTTAATTTGCTTTATTGCTGGTCATAAGCATTTTAAGCATTGCTTAAAAATAAAAAGTACGATCAGGTCAGATGGAAGTCAGAAAGAGCAAGGTAGAGCCGAAAACGTTTCGAAGTCAAAACCAACTAACAATTTTATCCACAACAGTCCGACTGACTGCATAAATGCATCGATGCATCCCTCTCAGTAACGTCCACTGTACCGTGAAACTAAGCGCATATAAACGCTTACAGTGCTCTAGTTTAAAACACAGTGCCCATACAGCGAACGGCGTGAAGACTACGTCACGATGGTACCACATTACCTCCTAATTTTGACCTTGGCAGTCGCTGCCAGCGCCAGGACGGCGTCAACAAACAAAAATACCCTGGATGAAGCCAGGAGTACAGAGGACAGTGTTCTAGGCGATCTGAAAATCGCATACGAAACATACAGGGATTGTAGTGGTGGCGACCTCTCTAGCTGTCTTAAGAGAAAACTGGCGAAAGCTATTACGAGGATATCGAAAAGTGATGAGGTGTCAGTCCTTAGTGGAGTCACGATAACCAAAGATAAGGATGCGAAGGTCAACGACGTTGAGGTCGAGGAGGCGATCCCTAGAGGTCTTGACGAGAGCTCTCTGGACAACCTTATCTTGGACAAGATCGTTGGATTCATGCAGACTCACACAATCCAGGTAAGGATCAATCAAATTTTAGCTTTACAACAACAACAATTCTAGGAAATACTTTAGTCATTAATTTGCCATAAGCGTTGAAATATTTTAAGCTGTAAGTTATCTTACACACAATCCAGGTAAGGATCAATCAAATTTTAGCTTTACAACAACAAACATTCTAGGAAATACTTTTTAGTCAATAATTTCCGAAAACTGTTAAATTATTTTAAACTATAAGCATTCTTACACACAATCCAGGTAAGGACTGTTCAAATTTTAGCTTCACCAGACAGAAAATTCTAGAAATACTTAAGTCATTCATTTCTTAAAGTTGAATTATTGTAAGCTCTATGAAATGAAAATAAAATAAAAACAAACGATGTTCATTACTTGGTTCGTGTCAATTGTTAATAAGGATATGCTTTACTAACATTAAAGACTTTTCTTTGGCTTTTAATTGTTATTTTTCGATAATTGTAATTTTGTTTTTTTGGTTCTTCCGTAATACAGTTAATGTTATTTTAATCTAAAACCATTTAATATTATTAAGTAGATAGTTCTGAAAGTTATCTAATTTACTTTTGTTATTAATATTCAAATAATTAGTTTTATTGTAAGTTTCCAGTACGGTACTTATCTAGATGGATCTAGACAACCGTCTATTACTTATTTATATTATATCTGAAATCTAGGAATCTTGTAAAGATAATTAACCTGAAACTTTAATAACTATCACAACTAAAACTAAACAAAAAAATACTGTACAAAAAAAGAAAAGTAACAATAAACCTACCTAAAGTTATGAGCCAGTCAATACATTTCTTATTGCTGTTGCTAAAAGAAAATCAATTGTCAGTCGGTGCGTGAGCATGAAATTGATTAGCGACGACAAATTACGCGCTTTGACAGGTTGATGGGCAATTATGATCAAAGATGGAGCGATTATAGTTGTTATGTAACTAATTGTTACTATAAATAGTGGTAGGGTCAAGGTGACAGTATTATAACGTCTAACGCCGAAAAAGGACGGAGACAAAGATATTTTTCATGATACAAAACTTTAACCTTACGTCCTTTAAGGACCTCCAAGTAATGTCCATGCAGACTAAAAGATGAAGACGGGGATGCCCTGCTCGATGGACTGACGACCGAAAGAAGATATGAGTGTGATGACTGGATGAAAATGGCGGGAAATCGTGCAGAACCTACTGGACTGCAATTGGTTGATATTTGATGGTGTCAAACTATTAGAGACACAATAAGGTTGGAATTGTAGATGACGTCATCGTATTCCCAAGAGGTTCGAAATATTTTGAAATACTCAGTCAATCTTTGTGGAAATCCTTGGGGGAGGCCTTTGTCCAGCAGTGGACGTCTTTCGGCTGAAACGAACGAACGAACTCAGTCACTCAGAAATTAAGGTGGTCATTATCTAATTGCCCAAAGTAGTAAAATCTAGCTTAGCTACTCTCACCCATGAACTTTGTCATGAAATGCCGGAATTTTCAGCAGAGGGTTACTAAAGTCAGATATAATTTGTAGGTAAATGTCTATTATTATAACCCCTGGTTACCCTCACAGTTACTGGGTAAATGTCAAAAACTGACCCCAATGAGCAAGTCTGACCAGAAGGGTCCGTATCCTTATTTACCTCTACATCTTTTTCTTCCCGCTCTTTTTCACCAACACTACCTAGAAAACACTCACTTTCACAGTCCATATAATGACATTATTCTGACACTGAAATTACGTTGGATTTAGTAACGACCATTACTTTGAAGATTACATGTCTTCCATGTTACATAACTGTAAGAATTACGTTGTTGATGGAAAAAAAATCAAATTAAGAAGATTTCAAATTCGCTTTTTACATGCCTACTATAAGATCTTGTTTCTAGCCAAATATCAATTTTATGTAAATGGGTAGTTAAAGGATTTGGCAATGGGCCAACGAACTCATTTAATTGGGTTTCATTTTTCCTTCGGGGGTCTGCTCTTTTTTCCTACCCCAAGGTTCCAAGGCATGCAAGCTAAGCCTAATATTTAGGTTGTACCTTACTGGGTAGCCTAAGCCCTACCATTTGAACTGTAACTAATTACCCTTAGAGCACGCAAAAAGGATTAAGAACTCTTTAAATTGCACGAGTGTAGATTCATGTTGATAAAATGCTAATTTTGTAATGAGCTTCTTACTAACAAAGCACAGTTTTAATGTCTATCTTTTTGTTTTTCTCGTGTTTATTTTGATTGATATCTTCTATTTCTACTTTAATAATTCTTAATGCCTTTGGTGGTTGATACCTTATTCTGCATTTATTATGCATTCAATAGCTTCTAGAAATTAATCCTTATTTGTTAAGTAAACATGAGCTGAATTTCATTACAGCGATCGAAGATTCTTCTCGTGGTGTCTTTGATAAATTATTGGAAAATTCGTTCCGAACGGCTACCAATCTTGTAATTACCCCCATTTCTAACAATCAAAGCTTATTAATATACATGTTTCCAATAACAACCAAGCAAAAAAGGCATACATAAACCAACGGATTGCACGAAATGCATAATGCACAGCTTTCTACTGCATCTCGGTAATTGCATGTTATTAATTTATCTTCACTTTTTTACAAGACACAGTCTATTTAGCAGTTCTCAGTCCAGCCTACTTACGGCAGCGTTTCTTCGCTAATTGGTGTGCGCACGAGTCGGTGGCGTGAACGCACTGGGGTGGTTTCTACTAGTTGGTACTTGATGAGTTGACAAGCTATTTTCGGTCTTATTGCATTAGATTTAGGAGAAATATAGATAACAGTCATTAGGAAACCAATGAGACTCAGGAAATAAAGAACGTTTGCTAAAACTAATTTGTGAGATTCTTCTCTTACGAAGGGACAACGATAAAGTTAGTTGATATTTCGCATCGCACTGGGATGGTTTCTAGTAGATGGTACTTGATGAGAACATCGAGTTAGTTGACAAGTAACTTTCAGCCTTATTGGGTCAGATATTAGGAAAAATATGGATTGAACTTTTAAGGAAACCAATGGGACTCCGGAAATAAAGAACGTTTGCTAAAAATTTGCGCGTTTGAGACTCTTCTTTCACAGTTTTAGTTTACGATTAGAAGGAATACCTTACAATACGGCAACATTGATAGTTTGATGTTATTTCATCGGACATCATGACCGTGACATCATTCAATGTACAATTTTGGGACACTTTTTTCTCATGACCTGAGGTGGAATTGTGTAAAGCAATCGTTATCATTTGACAGTTCATAACGTACGATTATTCTGTCAAACGCTTTGTTTAACTGACTTTATCGTACGTTATGAACTGTCAAATGATTACGATTGCTTTACACAATTCCACCTCTGGTCTACTAAAGTTCATAAGATTATTGCCACCTTTGGTTCACACCGATGCAACTCTATGACCAGGATTTACAGCTTGACCGGTGAAGCCAAGTGAAGGTCAAGGCCAAGTTACTCCCAGGTGAAAGTTTAATTGTCATTGAACTCAGGGCACATCTTCATATACGTTCAGAGTTCTCGGGTTCAAAGGTCAGTCAGGTCAACAAAAAGTAAATAGAGAAAGACTTATTATTTTGATGTAATATCCAATTTTTTTTCTGTTTTATTTTGATGCGGGGTCAAATGATTCCCCTGCAGCACCCTCACTAGTTGAATTTTAGTTTCTTCGGTTTTTAATGAAATTCCAATAATCACTCCATACGAACTTTACTAGTTGAGTTGTATTGCTGGTCAAGCTGTGGATCCAAGTTACACAAGAATTGCAAAGGTCAAACCAAGACTACGACTTCATTCAATTGTGTGCATTCATCTTTAGAATCATTTATGAAAATACAACATGAGTTTTCATTTGTCTTCGAAGTAATCGTCAATTAATTCATTATTAACAGTTATCGAAATTTAACATGACTGCCTAGTGAAAGGTGTCCAAGTTAAGTGATAATGTAATAAATCGATTTCAATCACACTTATTGAATTGTTTCCTGAACATTATTAATAAGTGATTTGTAAGCCTCATTAAGCAAATCATAGTGCCTTTCTCCTTATGTAAGGATATTAATATAAGAAAACACGTGTTTTATATCTAGCACCTACCTATATCACTTAGAAATTTAGAAAATATTCCATTATTGTTTAGGAAATTCAACTTCTTTGAACAGTTGTGCATTTTGTTTGGTATCTTAACTTTGCTTAGTTTGGGACTAAATTGATTGTCCAGTACCAAGTACTGGCAATTTATCGCCACAATAATACAGAGGTCGACAAGGATTGAACTCGATCCTCGATTTGGAAGTCCGGTACTTACCTAAAATGTTCGACCATTGTCGATATAAACTAGGTGTGAAGACTGGCTATACTTCGGAGAATGTGCGAAGGAATTACATGACCTAATTAATTAATAAAACAATGTTATGACACATATATTAATAAAGCTGAAACTTCTATTATAAATAACCCAAAGACATTTTGGTCCTATATAAAAGCATTAAAAAATAGCGAATGCTCTTTTCCGGCTTCAATGATCTATGAAAATAGATCGGCGGATTCAGGGGAGGCTATTTGTGAACTTTTTTCTACCTACTTTCATTCAACCTTTTTAGGGTCTGAAGCTGGCACGTCTTGCACTCACGTCATATCCGACTCTTGCCCCGACACCTGCTGCAGTATAGGTAATGTTGAGGTGGATACAGATGATCTGCTCAAACTATTAAAGTCCTTAGATTTAACCAAAGGTGCAGGACCTGATGAAATACCACCCATCTTTATAGTAAAATTAGCTAAAAGTATGGTTGTACCGATTTCTATATTATTTAAGCGTTCATTGCTTGAAGGTATTGTTCCGAACATCTGGAAATCTGCTTTCATTACTCCTATCCACAAAAAGGGCAATAGAGGCGATGTTAAAAACTATCGACCCATATCGAAACTATGCATTTTCTCGAAGGTTTTTGAGCGAGTTGTATACCAGCAACTTTACTCCTCTCTAGCGCCGTCATTTATACCACAACAACATGGTTTTCTTAAACGTCGATCCACAGTTTCGAACCTTCTGCTATCCAACGATTTCATAACGTCATCTATGGACTCTGGTGGCCAGGTCGATGCTATCTTTACGGACTACAGTAAGGCTTTCGATCGAATTGATCACGTGATGCTTCTACAGAAACTGCAGTTGGCCGGCGTTCACGGTAACCTACTTAGATGGTTCGAGTCATATATTGAGAATAGGTCTCAGATAGTTGTTTTGAACGGGTACAAATCTAAATGGATGTCTGTCCCATCCGGTGTGCCCCAGGGTTCACTTCTTGGCCCCCTCTTATTTATTATATTTGTGAACGATATAGGTAAGTGTTTCCAAAACTCTGAATTTCTATTATTCGCGGACGACATGAAAATACTTAAAAAAATTGACAATTTAAATGATTCGATGTTACTACAACATGATTTAGTTCGTTTTCAAAACTACTGCATTCATAACAAGCTGGATCTGAATGTATCCAAGTGCCAAGCTATTACTTTTACTCGAAAAGCTAATCCAACCAAATTTAATTACACTTTTAATAACCATAGTCTAGCTCATGTCGACCATATAAGGGACCTGGGAGTGATCCATGACTCGAAACTGCTGTTCGATGGACATGTGGATTATATAGTTAAGAAGGCCTCAAAGGCTCTTGGTTTTATTATGAGATCATGTGCACGCTTTTCCAATCTAAAACCTATAAAAATTTTATACTGTTCCTACGTTCGTAGCATCCTCGAGTATGCGTCTCAGGTCTGGAATCCCCAGTACAAAGTATACTGTAACCGAATTGAGTCCATCCAAAGAAGGTTTTTAAGATACTTGCAGTTCAAATCTAAGAAGCGCGATGTAGACTATTATGTGCGCTGCAGGAGGCACCACTTTATTCCTCTTGAGTTGCGTAGGACGGCTGCGGATATCACTTACTTAATGAACATATGTAACGGCCGTGTTGATAATTCCCAACTTTTAAGTAATGTCCGCCTACGAGTCCCCAACAAACAGAATCGAAAGCGCCCCTGCTTGCACCTGCCGTTGACTCGCACGAACTACCGTCGAAACTCGTTCTTCTGTAGGGTGGCAAATAGGTTCAATGAGATAGTTAGCGCTCACCCGCATGTAGACCTATTTTGTACCAACCCTACTGCTGTAAGAAAACTGATTGCAGGTGATTTCACGCGTCAGACACGTCGACCTGACATATAGTCAAATTTCTTCGAACTTCTTTCTATCCATTTTTTTTTTCTCTTTGCTTCTACGTATAATTAAAATTTGTTAAATTTTATACCCCTTGGTTATATAGAGGTGAAAACTATAGGCTTTGACCAACTACACTGTATCTATGCAATTTATATATTTGTAAGCTGTTTGTTTTCTGAATAAAATAAAATAAAAATAAAATAAAATTACACCCGATCACTATAATCCTTTTTAAGGCGAGAGTGAATAGTCATGTACGTACCATCCTAGGCTGCAAAAAAAAGACTAGCTTTTAAGTCGTACTTAAACATAACTAGGTTTAATTTCCTTAACCAATTTTTATTTTATTGGTCTGTCATTAGCTGACTTATGCTACAATTATCTGAATAGTCCGGAAGTTCCGAATCACATGAAGCACGACTGTTTTGTAGGGTTGTCACGTCTTGAGTTAAAAATATTTGAGACCTCCATTAATGCTCATCTTTATAAATTATGAAGACTTCCATTAATATATCTATCTATGTATAGCAGCCTTTGGGGTTCGTCTTCGAACATAGGCCTTCTCTTCAACCTTCTACCGATTTTGTCCCTGGCCACTTGCATCCAGTTTATTCCAGCTTGTTGCCGGATGTCATCTGTCCATCTTTTCGGTGATTCCTCTGACGCGGGTATCATTGCGGAGGTCTCTACTCTAAGGTCTTTCTGCATAAATGGATAGGTACTCATCTTTTTTTTTAGTGTCGTAAGTCAAGACTCACTTTAGGTCAATGCGCCATCTTAGTTAGTTATGCATCATCTTACAATTATTTATTTACGTTCAATATTTTACATAATATTATGTTCTTCTTCTTCTTATTCGTTTCGGTTGTAATTAGGTATATGCTGTATGCATAACTTTATCTAACATGGCAAGGCATTATAGATTGTGATATAATCATGATATAAAAATGTTCATTACATAATGCAAATAAGCGTTTTGCATCGTGTTTAAAAAAAAAGTTTAACACAATCAAAAAGAAAGTGACAGCCCTAATTTGATTTGTAGGAAATATTATTACTTTATTTTTATCCGCACTTTCGTTAGTATCATGTAGTGTAGGTATCGCATGTATACTGATATAATCGACCTAATCATCTATTTTATTAGAATTTATTACTTGTAATTACTAAAAATGAAGTAGTAGGTATTGAAATACTTTCTCTTAATGATATAATAGGAACAAAAATAGAGTTAATTATTTTTCACAAACAAATAAATATTTGCCCTATAGTCCAACAATTTAATTTGGGACTGGGAACGATTTAAATGGTATTATTATTTGACTTACAGTTCTCACTAGACAAATAAGTAAACCTTTATCAGTCAAAATTATACGAGATAATAGGTTGGGGAGAGCACCATAATGCTTGCAATGCAGGACCTCTCTTTGTGGAAGTCCTTGGCAAGGCTTTGAGCTGTAGACATCTTTTGACTAAGCTTAACTTGCCTTGATTCATCATCATCATTTCGGTCCACTTCTGAACATAGGTTTCTTCCAATGATTTCCACAATGGCCGGTTGGTGGCGGCCTGCATGTTCACGTTGAGGCGTTGATCACATCGGTTGTAGAGGCGGATACAACTCTCTGTTGGCAGACTGTCTGGTGCAGTAACATACGCCGTCTCCCACTGCCGATTTTACTTGGTCTGTCCAACGCATAGGTGATCTGCCACGCAATCTTTCAACTTTTCCTTGGACGACCAGTCGCTCTTGGAGTTGATTAGACAATACAAAAACTATGAAACTAAAAAAGAAACCTCTCTGTACTTCCAGGTCAAATTCCCCACCGGCGCTGACCTGCAGTCCGCCGAGGGTCGCAGCAGGAGGAAGAAGCTCGCCCCTCTCCTGGCTATCCCTCTCCTAATCGGTGGTATGCTGGTACCCCTGGCCTTTGGAGCCCTGGCTCTCTTAGCGGGCAAGGCCTTGATCGTGTCTAAGCTGGCGCTGGTGCTGGCTGGTATCATTGGGCTAAAGAAACTCCTGTCGCCGAGCGGTGGTGGAGAGGCCCATGAGGTGGTGGTTTCGTCTGCTGGGCACGGAGGCTCGGGATGGAGCAGGTATTGATACTTTTAGAAGATTTATTGATAGAACTTCGTTGTTCATATTTTTACGGTTATCTTGAAGTCAAATAAATATTCTAGGAGAAAATGAATATAACCTTACTTGAGCTTCAAATTAAAGTACTATTACACTACACTTTGTCATGCTGAGTAGTACCTACCTACTTGGATAGGATTTTTACAAACACCTTTTGTCAAAATTTATTGCATACCTTAATAATTATCTAGGAACGAAATCAAGGCTTGAATAACAAAGTCAAAATTTTGCCTACTATTGTGTGAGAAGTAACAATTTATTGAGGATAAACCATGATAATATCAGACTTTATGACCCTCTATGTGACAGAGCACAATGTGCCCTCCGAAGAACGGACTTTTCCTAGAATGTTTCTTCATGTTAATTCAAGCAACGTCCTGACTATAGAACAAAGTGGTTTTATGGGGGTCATTTTTGGTACCTTTTCTCTATGTGCCAACTTGTATCATTTGAAACATTTTGCGCAGCAATAGATGATTCTGATTCTATTTAAGTATGTCCCATCTAATCATCGATCTTCTGACTCAAGAGACGCCTATTTCTCTATTCACTACTATGTTGCTGATTGATTACTTTAAAGAGTGAGTCTTCAAGCACCCATTTAGTTAGTTCACATGGATTTGTCGCGAAAGTCGAATCGCCGACATCCGCAGGGCGTGGGTATATGGGCCGTAGAAATCGTAATGGTCATGTAATTTTCTAATTATACATCTTCATCGGCTAATTGGAACGCATTGCGGCTCGGCGATTTGGGAATTTTCCTCAAACATAGTAGTTAATTATTAAGGATTTATTTATTACAGGTTTAATTTATAGTGACGACAGGAAAAGTTTACCTTTTTACATATTATGCCTTTTACCTTTACATTTAATTCTCACGATTAAGCTGTAACATGAGTACCTTATCAAGAGCGAGCGTGCATTAATGTCATTCTCCAAGTTTTTTTGTGACAAATAACGAAATATACTTTCAGGGGACTTTCCAGATGAAATGATGATGATTTATTCAATAAAATTATGTTTTTTTTTTATTTTCATTATTTGGCAATAAACTTGGACGTGCACTGCGTCGCACGTTCAACTCCCAACAAATACATTGGTTATCGTTATAGTTATGGTCAAAATTTCGTCCGATTTTCTTTGCCTCGTCTGCTACAGTGTTGTCATTTAATTTTGTCATTGTGGATTAATTGATTTTATTATAATTTCTAGTATTTTGTATAATCAATTTTTCTCTCATTCCAGGTCGCTGGAGAACGCCCAAGACTTAGCGTACAACGCGTACTCCCAATAGTCTGAACCCACCAAACAATTCATTATGCTATAAGGAACAACCGTAACGTTTTTCCTACTACATAATTATTAGCACTTACTGTATAATACAGTGAAAACCCACTGAGTTTGGTAAGACCCAAACGGAGTTAATCAATGTTCGACAAACTGAAAATTGGTAACTACAGAGACGGATTTACACGACACGATTTTTGTCCACGACTGATGTAAAGTCCATGTTGGTAGCTTGGTTGTTTTTGTTATATTTTGGAAAAAATAGGTCTACGTGCTTATATAAAAAGCACCAAGCTTTGTCAATGTGTTCGCGGCTAGCTACGCAACATGGATCTGTGTAGAAAATTAAGTTTTTAATTTTACGCAGGGGTCGCAGCAAATGTTTGATCACAGATTAAAAAACTTGGCCTTGCATTTAGTGCTGGCTGGTGACTGAAATCGGTGCGTGTAAATCCTGCTCGATTGAAGAGTGACGTCTTTGTTAGATAAAATCGTGACATAACAGCTTGTGAAAAACGTGGTCAGTATTATCGTGTGAGTGGTAAGGACGATTTATATGTTGCGTTTTTTTCTAATGCGGATTACTACGACATAATGGCATGCATGAATGGATTTTGAGACGTAAAATAACATTGAATGAGTTAGAGAATACTATTCGGTTTCTCTTAGCATCGACGATGTTGAAATACCTCGTACTCTTCTGGAAAAGGTTATAATTATGCACTGTAAATTATTTAACCTACTTATTTATTTATCATAGTTAGACCAACAGTAAAACGTAAGTGTATTTTTAATTTTAACATATATTTATGTACAATGTGAATGAGCCTTTGGATGTTGCTTTAATAAATATGTACGTATTTATTTTGCCGATTATATTGATTTATAGATTTATTTATCCATTTTGAGTTATTTTTTATTTTATATACGTAAATGGTGTGTACAAAGATCATGCTTATCTATCACGTATTTATTTTATTAACAATTATTTATTCAATTATTATATTTATGTATTTATCATAAAAGTATATATTATTATTATTTTTTGCAATGTACATAATGTAAATAAATTATTGCATTTATTTAATAAAATAAATATACATATCAAAGTATATATGTAATAAACATATTATTTATATTATTTTGTGTTAACACTATCACAGACTGATCTCATATTATGTATTCGTCTACTATTTAATGAAATATATAAATAATATTGTTATGGTGCTCATTATTGTAATGTAAATATATTTATACTTGTATTTCTCATTGAATGTTATATTCGAGTCAAACGATTAATTTATTAACTTATTTAATAGCAGAATGTTATCATTATAACTGTTGGTTACGCGATGTTTGTATTTATTTCGGAATCCCAAATCCCTAATTCCCACTATTTATCATTAAATGAGGAGATCCGTAAACGAACCAAAGTCGCTGACATAGCCCGACTGATTAGCAAGCTGAAGTGGCAATGGGCAGGGCACATAGTACGCAGAACTGACGGCCGATGGGGCAGCAAGGTTCTGGAATGGAGGCCGCGTACCGGAAAACGCAGCGTGGGACGTCCACCTACAAGGTGGACCGACGACATCGTAAATGTAGCAGGGAAACGCTGGATGCAGGCCGCTACCGATCGATCAACATGGAAAGCATTGGGGGAGGCCTATGTTCAGCAGTGGACGTCCTATGGCTGAAATGATGATGATCATTAAATGACGAAGCACACTTATCAACCTCGAAACGGATCGTAACCGTATCATCTCGAGGCGGTCAGTATTCTTTGAATGAACCTCCATACTGCATTGCACGAAAGGCGATGACAGCTCGCAAAAGGCGATACGGTGTTGATCCCTTTCCGAGTTGATAACTCTGCTATGAGCTTAAATCGAGTGACTAATGACGCGCTTCCACCCACAAGGTGAACCAACGACCTCATAAAGGAAGGCGCTAGATGCAGGGCGCTACCAACCGTGCGATGTGGAAGTTATTGGGGGAGGCCTATGTTCAGCAGTGGACGTCCTGTGGCTTAAATGATGATGATGATTTGCTCCTAAACTAAGCAAAGCTTCCAATAAAGCGATTAGTTAACGCATAAAAATACTGAAATAAGAAAATTTATAATTTTATAGTTCGCGCCAATAAATATTGTCAATTTTGCGAACTTCTATGTCAGACTATGCATATTCTTAACGATATAATAATTACACAATACTTTGACCAAAAACCAAGACCACCAGACACATTCAGACACGTACTCATGCATAATGTAGCGGCTTTTGTGTCCAAAAATTCATACGTCCAAAGAATTATGTCAAGCATTTTGTATGCTGTTTGGAAGTCAATTTGCAAATCGGGTCACCGTACGGAACAGATTTTTGAAAGTGAAATTTTATTATGTAGATCGAACTATTTGCAATCAAATGAAAAGAGAAATGGCATAGCCAATATACATAGATTTGTATTCGTATGGGGAAGCCTTTGTCCAGCAGCGGAGATCATTTGACTGAAACGATTGAATGAACTTGTATTCGTAGCTATACTTTTTATTGAACTCCACAAACTAACAAATAATTGAAAAATAATAGAATTGAAACGGCATAATTCAGTTGGTCCTATCCCTATACTGGCTAAAGCGCTGGACTGACTAAGTATAATCTTCACGGGACTATTCCCACATCTCGTTCCCACTGCTGCCACTCCTGTGTAGCCAGGATCTACAGCTTGACCGCCATAAAAACCCAACCAATGAAGTCCCGGGGGAAAGTTAAACTGTCATTGGACCCGCAATGAAATTAATCAGAAGAATATAGGAGGAGCTCGAAGTTAAGGTTAGCATAGCGGATAACAGGTGACAAACAAGTAAAATCTGCAGTGGTAATTACCTATGGGCAGGCCTCCCACTAGGTGGACCGACGATCTAGTGAAGGTCGCGGGAGGCGCCTGGATGCGAGCGGCGCGGGACCGGTCTTTGTGGAAATCCTTTGTCCAGCAGTGGACGTCTTTCGGCTGAAACGAACGAACGAACGAACACCTATAGTAATACTACGTGCCTATCTAACTGCATCAGCCAACAGGGAGAGATGGCGGGATATCTATCCGCCTCTACAACCGACGTGAACGCCGACCGCTCTGCTAAGAGCAAAACGACTAAGAAGAAGAATTGTTATACTTATTTAGGAATTATCTAGTATGTAATGTGATAAAGGCCAAGATTGCAAGCGTCACCCTACATTAGAATCTTCTACTTTCATGAAGGCTGTAACAGTACGAGCTAGGTTTATGAATTTTGAGATCTAAGTATGGGCTGTCTGACAGGAATACATTTTAATGAATTCCTAGAGAATCAAGGAATTATTCTTCCCTATAAAGACCGAATAACATCACCGGAGTGTCAAAACTTTTTTTTTAATTAAGAAAAAAGCACTCATTAGACATTTTTAAATAATTTTCTTGTGTAAAATCTTCCTTATTTTCTAGACATATTTTTAATTTGATAGTCTAGTTACTACAATAAAATTCTTCTTATATCACAAAACCAGCATAGGTTTGATATAACTTGATCTTTATTTGACTCTACCACTTTTCCTGGCTATAATAAAACTTGTTAAATAACAAAATTTAATTTATCTCCAGTGAGTTCAATAACATAGAAAACTTAACAACATTGTCACTCACACCGGACAATGAACTTGGTTACTTAAGTGAGTAATATATTTTACCCATAAACCATTTGTAGTAATTTTCACATGTATTTGCTTTCGCTGGAATATAATAGGATAGAAAACAGTAGGTTTATTCCGTGTGAAGGTTAGAATAAGCGATTATTTAAGAAAAGGTCATAATATTAATAGCTAATGTGCTTATTAATATCACATTTATATCTCTAGGTAGATTTATATCAGTGCCAAAGGAAATCTCTCTATATTTATACATGTATGGTGTCTGGCTGTTGCATAAAATTATAGAAGAAACTACGCTATTATTTAAAAAAAATACATATAGAGAGGTTATTTTTGAAGAAGGAAAATGTCAATGTATAGTTCTAAGATAAAACTGAAAAACTGAATGAAAAAATAACTTACAAGTCTCTAATTCAAAAATGGAAAATTCGTATGCTTACCTAAACCTAGGCGCAGACCATCGATTTTTCGTTGGCCGATAGTTTAGTCGGGCAGTTAATCAGTATGAGCATGTATGGCAGTGCGCACATTACGCCGAATGGATTTGGCCGATTCTTCATTCAAATTAAGATCGGGTCCAACTGTCGGCCAACTAAAAATCGGTGGTCTGCGCCTAGTCTAAGTTTAAAGGACGTAGCACACTTATAAATGCCTCTCCTAGCGGTTGACAGCACGCGAAATGCAATGATAGCTCGCGAAAGGCGATACGGTGTTGATCCCTTTCCTAATTGATAAGTCTGTTTTGACCTTTTTGACGAATTAATGATCGTTGTGGTCATAGAGTGAAATCCAAGAGGCTGAAGAATTTTTCATTTCTGTCTCATTTCCATAAGACAAGAGCTGCTGTATTTCCTGAACACTATAATCCGGGCGTTTTCAAGGCGAGAGTGAACAGGCACCTACAGGGCAGATAATATGTACCATCCTGCATCTCACTTAACACCAGGTGCGATTGCGGTCAAATACCTGCCTTGTCTAGCATAAAAAAAAGAATTACTGTATCCATTTTCACTGTGAAATACGTACAGTACCTCTAGAAAACTTCCCATATTTTCAACCTTACTATCTTAGACTAATGGAACTATACAACAACTAGTAAAGTATAATAATCCAGTTAGTGTAAGCCTTCTAGTTCTATTAGAGAACTGAAAGTGACCGCAGCTCTCTCATGGTAATAATGTGTTGTACTGATGCTTATATCATATAGTTACACATGTCGTGGTAGGTGTTAGATATATTATTATGGGGAGACAAGTGAAAAGACGGGAACTTTTGTATATAAAAGAAGTGTGAAACTATCCATTTTACTGCAAATCCTTGAAAATGTATGTTCCTTTGAAGTAAAGACTAACCCCTGTATTCACAAACAATGCATTCTTATGTGAAGCAGCAAATCGAAGGCACAGCGTTGAATAGAGCTCTGTGATTGGTTCGTGTGTCACCTCATAGTAATGTTTGTGAATACGGGCGTAAGTTGAGTAGTGTATAAATGGTCAAATTGTACATTGGCTGAAATAGGTATTTCAGCTTTTCACTTTTTAAAGGCGAATGATTATTTTAATGTAGGGTTCAACGAACCTAATAAATATTAGGATCGTGAATCACGAATCTGGGGGCACGGCAGTGCCCCCACCAAGTCGAGCAAAAAAGCGGCACGGCCGTACCATCCTTTTCTCGAAGCAATTCAGGCCATTTTCGACCGCCTGTAACTTCGTTGTGGATAAAACTAGAAGGCTGAATTTTCATTAGCTATGCAGGCATTGTAAAGACACGGTATATTTAAAATTTCATTCAATTTGAACCAGTAGTTTAAGAATTATAACGGGTCAAAGTTACTTAATTTTGTCACTCACTGACTCACTGACTGACTGACTCACCGATCATCAAAATTCTAAGGCACTTCTAGCAGACCTAGAAGCTTCAAATTTGGAATATAAGTAGTGTTTGGTGTATGAATCAAGGAAAAACTAAAATATTTGGGGGCACGGTAGTGCAACCGCCAAGTCGAGTAAAATTTTTCAATTTCGGTCCAGTTTTCTAGATACATAACTGCTGTCTACAAAATACAAAAAGAAATGAGATCCCATCAAAAAAAATACTTGTCAAAAAAACCAAGTCTCGCAACTCAGTTGTTCTACGGTAAAAAGTTGTGAGATCCATGTAATACCAAGTCCAGGCCAGGAAATCTTTAACGTTTTACATAAATATATTGACTTGGCCATCGCATGAAAACACGTGTAAATTAAATTTATTATTTAGTGCGA